CCCTCCGCCTGCCCGCGGCTCACAGAGCCCGCATCCCGGCCGCCGCCGAGGGGCGTCTGCAGGCTCCTTCCGCAAACTGTTTGCCCATCGCTAAAACTGTGGCCAAAAATAAAGAGATTCACCGTGCGGGGCACCGCAGACGCGCCCGCGGGCGGTGCGACCTAGGTGCGGGCGACCCCAGTGCCCGGCTGGCTTGGCCCCTGGAGGGAAAGGTGGGGTCATTATTGTGTATGTATAAGTACATACATACATTCATACATACATACACACACATACATACACACATACATACATACATGTGTATATATCTCCTAAAGGTGACAATGTTTAGGCCCAGAGTCGCCAGCCTCAGAGCAGGGCCACTGTCCAGTCCCTTGGCAAACCGCTGCTCAGTCTTCTGTCCTCACAAAGTCCCTTTCTTTGTCTTTCTTAGGAAGAAATCTGTGTCAGTGGGCTCCCAGCTCAGGTGTCTTGATCCTATCCTCAGTTAAGGAATATTAACTTTATTTTTTTTCCCCGTCTACTTTGGGGCTGTTAGGAATAATCTTGCTCTACAAACTGTCACACGCACATTCCCTCCAGGGAAACAGGGAGAAATGGGTTGGCTTGGTTAGGTGACAAGTTCACCTTTGACTATGAAAAACAAGTAGGTTTTCAAAAAGACTGCACAGGGCCGGGGGTGTAGCTATTTGTAAGAGCTGATCTATGCCTGGCCTGCTTGAGGCCCTGAGTTTGATTCTTACTTTAAAAAAGTGGCCCAGCTCAGGCCTGTAATCTTACCTACTCAGTAGGCTATGATCTGAGGATCACTGTTCCAAGCCAGATGGGGCAGAGAAGTCCATGAGACTATTATTTCCAATTAACTAGAAAAAAAAAGCCTGAAGTAAAGGTGTGGCTCAAGTGGTAGAGCACCAGCCTTGCACAAATAAAAAAAAATCTGCGAGTGCCCATGCCCTAAGTTTAAGTCTCAGAACTGGCACACGTGCACCTGCATGCACACGCGCACGTGCGTACACACACACACACACACATACACACACACACACAAGTGGATGCATAATTTTGAAATACCAGCAGCAATCTGTGTTAGTCGCATTCTTGAAATCACTGGAGATTGTTAAAACAGAAAACAATAACAACAAAAAGTCTTTTTTAGCCATCCATGAGCTGGCAGCAGAATTTCTTTGGAATTTTAGGGTATAGTCTTCTTTGTCAAAAGTTTCCAAACTTTCATTTTCTGGAAGGATTTGAAACCCTGCCCTTGCATGAGTGCTCCAGCACTGATCTACATCTACAGCTACTGTTTTTTTTTTTTTAATTCGGTTTTCTTGAAAGCTGCTGGTTTGCAAAATATTATATACATAATGTGATCCCCACCAAGTATTCACCCCCCCTAGTCTGTAGCTTGTCTCTTCAAAGAAAAGTTTTCATTAGGATAAAGTTGGTCATTTTTTTCCATTTGTAAACCATGCTTTGGATGTCTTAAAAACTCTTTGCTGGGGCTGGGAAGGTGGCTCAGTGGTAGAATGCTTGCCTTGCATGCATGAGGCCCTGGGTTCGATTCCTCAGCACCACATAAGAAGAAAAAGCTGAAAGTGGCGCTGTTGCTCAAGTGGTAGAGCGCTCACCTTGAGCTGAAGAGCTGAGGTCCAGAGTTCAGGCCCCACCACTGGCAAAACAAAACAAAACAAACCTCTGGCTAGCCATACAGTTTTATGGTTTTATATTTTATATACAAGTTCATGTTCCATTTGGGGTTCATTTTTTTTAAATCAAGCATGACATTAGGTTGTGATTCCCAACCCTTATCCTCATGGATATCCAGTGTTATTTTTTGAAAGGTCCATCCTTCCTCTGTTGGATTGTACCTGTATCATATTATTTTATTTCTGCAATCCCTGTTCCATTTGTTTGATATCTAGGTATTGAGTTGGTCTTCCTATTATGACTCTTGTTTGCACACTGTTTGTGTGTTCTTATACGCGTGTCTTCCTGGCTCGTAATCATTTCTCTAGGGCAGGAAACTGGAAGGAATTGTGGGGTTTTGATGATACACCTATTCAGCTTTACAAAATAATGTCAAATTGCTTTACAGAATGATTGTATTTATGTCCACATGAGATTGTATTTATGTCCACATGAGATTGTATTTATGTCCATACAAGTTCCCACAGATCCTGATAGTTAACAGAAATATCATTTTAGCTAATTTTCTGTGTAAAGATCAGAAGCTGAACGTCTCCTCGTGTTCATTAGCCATCTACAATGCCTCTACGGTGAAGAGCCTGTAAGTGGTGGGCCAGTGTGTCGCTGGGCAATTTGGAACTTTGTAATTGGGTGGGGCCAGGTCTTTGAGTTCTGGTGAGCAGGATGTGAGTGGAAGGGTGTAAGGATGTGACTGGAAGTCTGGCCATCACAAGCTCCCTGTGCTATCCTCTGAAGCCATCTTTCTGTGCTCCTTCAACCTTAGGGACCAGACCATGTGGTCTAAGAATGGAACAGCAAAGCATTCCCACTGCCTTTCTTTCCAGAACCATTGAATATCCCCTTATACATTTCTTTTAGGATAAAACACTTTTTATGGCAACTTTTTTTTAAAAAAATTGCACTCTCACATTGATAGTTTTACTGAGTTCAGAATTCCAGGCTGACAGCACTTCCCACCTCTACCCCACTTTCCTTTTTTATTTAATTAAAGCCTAGGATAATCAGAAACAGCACAAGTACTTCATAATATTTTTTTTTTTTTTTTGTCGGTCGTGGGGCTTGAACTCTGGGCCTGGGTGCTGTCCCTCAGCTCTTCAGCTCAAGGCAAGCGCTCTACCACTTGAGCTACGGCGCCACTTCCCGTTTTCTGGTGGTTTATTGGAGATAGGAGTCTCACGGTCTTTCCTGCCCGGGCTGGCTTTGAACCGCGATCCTCAGATCTCAGCCTCCTGAGTAGCTAGGATTACAGGCGTGAGCCACCAGCGCCCAGCCTTCATAATATTCTTATTGTGGACACCTAGAAATTTGATCTCAATATGAAAGGAGCCTGTGGTCGGCAGTGACGTGCCTCCAGCAGGAAAATGACATCACTTAGAGCCTGTCAGTACACTTTCCTGCAGAGAGGCCTTCAGCTAGGATGGGTAGACACTGAATGCTCACATAGCATCCACTGTTCACGGAAAAACAGGAGCAGACATGATTAAGACGCATCTTCGTACTTAACACTTAACAGTTCCTGATAACCAGTGGTGATTCAAAAGGCTCTGACAGAAACAGGAGAGAAAACCTATATATAAATGCAAAATGAAAAACTAAATAGTGAGGTGAAGGCAGGCATTCATTCCTCCAGCCTGCTCCCTCCCCCCCCCCAAACTGGGCCTTGAACTGGGCAACTGGGCACTGCCCTTTGGCTTTTGTGATCAAGGCTAGCCCCTTCACTTCCAAATTTTTGCTAGTTAATGGGAGATAAAAGTCTCAGACATTTCTGTCCAAACTGGCTTTGAATCCCAATCCTCAGATCTCAGACTCTTGAGTAGCTAGGATTACAGGCGTGAGCCACCAGCCTGTATGCATGTTTAATGATGGGAAAACCATAGCCCTCCAAAATTCTCTACCATTCAGCCCAGCAGTTACTTTGCTCTCAAAACTTTGAAGGTTTATTTGCATCACTTCATTGTGGCTGATAACTCAGTTTTATTTCTATTTGGTAAAATAAAAGCAAGCTTCTTTATAGTTCCTTTTCCATGACCACTAGCAAAATCTTTCTGGGGTGTTGTGGTAACCACTGAGAAATGTCTTAGGTGTGAAAGTGCATCTCCTGAGATGCACTTTCAAAAGTCTCTTCTTTTCCAATTTTAAGGAAATCACAATTACTGTTTCCTGGAAAACGATCCTCTTATTCTCCTGGTTGGTTTTTTTTTTTTTTTTGGTCCGGTTGTGGGGCCTGAACTCTGGGCCTGGGCGCTGTCCCTCAGCTCTTCAGCTCAAGGCTAGCGCTCTACCACTTGAGCCACAATGCCACTTCCGGCTTTTTTTTTCTTTTTGCTTATGTGGTGCTGAGGAATCGAACCCAGGGCCTCAAGCATGCAAGGCAAGCCCTGTACCACTGAGCCACCTTCCCAGCCCTCTCCTGGTTGTTTTCAGGGACTTTCACTCAGTGTGTGTGAGGCCTTTCCTTTTATTCTGAAGATCTGGCTGGGGCTGGCACACTTTCTCACACTTTCTCAGCAAGTGGACAGACGGTAAATCTTTTTGTTTCTGAGGACCATGAGGTTTGTCAGTCAAGGCACTCTACCATTTACAGTACCAAAGCAGCCACTGACATCATGTAAATAATGAATGTGTACCAATAAAACTTCACAAAGCAAGGCAGCAGGTTGGGTCTGACTGCGCATCATCTGTCATCTCTCATCTCATTTACATTTTCCTTTTCTCTGTGCTATATCCTGATATACTTATTGGGATGTATTATCTTCTGGCTCACTTCTTGTGGTGTATATGGTGCTGGGAGTTAAGCCCAGGACCTTTTGCATGTAAAGCAAATGTTTTCCCATTGAGCTACAACCTCAGGCCTACCTCATTTATTATTATTTGTAACCTGTGGTACATTATTTTAATCTATCCATTGAGATTTTTTGTTGTTGTTCTTTGGTTGTGAGTCTTGAACTCTGGGCTAGGCTCTTCAGCTCAAGACTAGCACTCTACCACTTGAGCCACAGCACCAGCTTCTGGTGGTTAATTGGAGATAAGAGGCACATGAACATTCCTGCCTTGGCTGGCTTTGAATTGCAATCCTCAGATCTCAGTTTTCTGAGTAGCTAGGATTATAGGTGTGAACCACTGGCGTCCGGCTCCACTGAGATTTTCAGTCTATTTCAACACTTGCTTTTCTAGGTGTTTCTCCCCTCCCCCATTTACTACCAAAAATGTCATTTTTCATACACTTTGCAAAAAAGTGGCTTCTGCCAAATTTCGGGAGTGAGGGTGTGTTATTGTTGCTACTTTTACTAGTTTTTTTTTTTTTTGGGTCCGGTCGTGGGGCCTGAACTCTGGGCTTGGGCACTGTCCCTCAGCTCTTCAGCTGAAGGCTAGCGCTCTACCACTTGAGCCACAGCGCCACTTCCGGCTTTTTTCTTTTTGCTTATGTGGTGCTGAGGAATCGAACTCAGGGCCTCAGGCATGCAAGGCAAGCGCTTTACCACTGAGCCACCTTCCCAGCCCACTTTTACTAGTTTTTATTTTTATACATCATTCATCTGTGATCTTAAATTTCTTGATTCTCATGTGTGGTGATTCTGCATCTGTCTCTAGTCCCAGAGCTTCTAAAGATCTTCCCTCAATTTGCCCTCCTTCCCAGGGCTCCACATGCAGTTAGCAGCAAATGTGGTTCAAAGCATCTGACTCTGAGGAATTCCCACCATCCAGGTGCTTACTGCTCTGTGCCAACTAACTCTGGGGTAGCAAACCAAAGAGAACTCTCCATCTTCTTCTTCTTCTTCTTTTGACTGGCAGGACTAAAAAAAATGCATTCTGTAATGGGTATATTTATAAAGCTGGTAGCATTCTACCTTTAATTCTAATTTCAGTCAAAATCCTAATGGTGTTGAATTCATTTAGCTTTTACAAATCAAATCACACACTCCTGTAATTACAGCTACTTGGGAGGTGGAGGAAGGAGGATCGAGAGTTCAAGGCCAGACCAAGCAAAGTTAGTGGGGCTCTATTTCAAAAACAAAAGGACTTGGGGTATAACTTATTTGGTAAAGTTCTTGTGTGAGGTCCAGGTCCAACCTCAGAATTAGTGATTATAAATGTGATACATTATCAGTAAAGAAATTGTGGTAGCATAAAGGGCAATTCCTGTGGAAGAAATGCAGCTAATTTCTCACCTCATGTCATAGCTAAAAAATGTGTAAAAATTGTGTCTGAAATCTAAGTGCATCTGTGTGTGTGTGTGTGTGTTTGTATGTGTGATTAATACTTTATCATCTTGATGTGGGGACACATTCCTGACATGGGAGAATTTCTAGACACTATAAAAACATATGACTCTATAGGGCTAACTTTTTTTATTCAATACTAGGGCTTGAACCTGGGGGCCTTGAACTTTCTAGGCAGACACTCTACCACTTGAGCCACACCCTAACCCCTTTTGTCTCATTATTTTTTAATAGGATCTTGCCATTTCTGAGGGGCCTCCTGGATCCACAATCCTGCATAGATGGGATGTCCGGCACACACCACCATGCCCAGCTTTTATTGGGTGGGATGGAGTCCCTGGAACTTTTGGCTCAGGCTTCCTTAAACCACAATCATCTTGACGTCCATCTCCCAGGCAGCTAGAAGTATAGGCTGCCACATCCTGCTGGGATTGAGATGGGGGGGGGAGACAGTAAGCTTCAAAAAAAGAAATAATAGATTATGGGAAAATGTTCCCCAAACAAAAGGCCAACACGAAAAGTAACAAAAAACAAAAAGATGACAAAGAATGACCACTGACTCATATGGCAAATAAATAAAAGCAGATTAACTTCACAAGTATCTGAGGAAACAAATGAAAGAAACAAATTGTAGTTTCTTTTCATACCAATATTTTTTTTTTGGGTCCGGTCGTGGGGCCTGAACTTGGGCCTGGGCGCTGTCCCTCAGCTCTTCAGCTCAAGGCTAGCGCTCTACCACTTGAGCCACAGCACCACTTCCGGCTTTTTTCTTTTTGCTTATGTGGTGCTGAGGAATCGAACCCAGGGCCTCAGGCATGCAAGGCAAGCGCTCAACCACTGAGCCATCTTCCCAGCCCTCATACCAATATTTAAAAACTGAGGGCAATAATGCACAATGAAAGGATAATGGGGAAGTGGTATTTTCAAGCTTGCAGGACTATGAACAGTTCTCAGTTATCTGACAGCAATTTTCCAGGCAATGGAGACTCACACCTGTAATCCTAGCTACTCAGGAAGCTGAGATCTGAGGATCCAGATTCAAAGCTAGCCCAGACAGGAAAGTCTGTGAGACATTTATCTCCAGTTAACTACCAAAAAAGCCAGAAGTGGAGCTTTCTGTGGTTTAAGTGGTAGAGTGCTAGCCTTAAGCAAAAAACGTTTAGGGATAGGTCCCAGGCCCTGAGTTCAAGCTCCAGGACCAGCACAAAAGTAGAAGAAGAAAAAAAAAAAGCCCTCCAACTCCTGTGACTGTCCTCTGACCTAGCCCTCCCAGTTCAGGAGCCCCGTCACTTATAAACAGAAGCTTGATTACATAAGGTTGTATATGTAGACTTATATCTCTGTTGTTTGTAACTGAATCAATGTGACAGTTTATTGTTGATACTAGAGAATGATATATATAGCCTTAAAAAAGAATGTATTAGCCAGGCACCGGTAGCTCATGACTGTAATCCTAGCTGCTCAAGAGGCTGAGATCTGAGGATTGTGGTTCAAAGCCAGCTCAGGCAGGAAAGCCTGTGAGAGACTTATCTCCAATAAACCACAAGAAAACCGGAAGTGGAGCTGTGACTCAAGTGGTAAGAGCTCTTGCCTTGAGCTGAAGAGCTGAGGGACAGCGCCCAAGCCCAGAGTTCAGGCCCCACGACCGGACCCCCCAAAAAAATAGTGTGTAAGCTTTGTCTTGCCTATAATTGGGGTAGAAGGAAAGAGTTTTACTTATACTTTTTTGCAGTACTGGAGTCTGCTCTTAGTCTTTCCTTGCTTTGTTTTTTTTATATAGGATCTTGTATACTTTTTCCTGGATTGACTGACCTTGGGCTGCTATCTTCTATCTATGGCCTTTCAGGTAGCTAGGACTACCTATTCATGCCTGATCTGTGTATTGAGACAAAAATCTTACTAATTTTTGTCTAGGTTGACCTTGAACTGCAATCCTCCTGATTGCCACTTCCTGAGTAGATGGGACTACAGGTATGCGCCACCATGCTCAGTCATACATATTTAGCTAATATATTGTTATTTGTGCTGGTAGCATGGCTTGAATTCAGGGCCTTATACACATTGGATCTGCTTGTTCATAGCTGTCCCTATGCCACTTGAGTCCTGCGCCCAGTATGGTATTTTTCTAATTACAGATGGGGTATAGCCCAGGTTGGCTTCCAACCTCAGTCCTCTGTTCTCAGCCTCCCAAGTAGCTAGGATTACAGGTGTGAGCCACCATTGAACCATTATGTATCTAATTCTTACTTATTTTTGTCAGCTGTGGGGCCTGAACTCTGGGTCTGGGCACTGTCCTTCAGCTCTTCTGCTCAAGGATAGTGCCCTACCACTTGAGCCACAGCACCACTTCCGGCTTTTCTCTGCTTATGTGGTGCTGAGGAATCGAACCCAGGACTTCATGCAAGTACTCTACCTCTGAGCCAACTTCCCAGCCCCTAACTCTTATTTAATTTTATGGTGCTGTGGAGTTAATCCAGTGTCTTATGCTTCTAGGAAAGTGCAAGGAAAACCTCTCAATATCTCTGAATTTTACATGAAACTCTTTTCTAATAGCTTGTGAGCCAGAGGCTCACACTTATAATTAAGTTACTCAATAGGCCGAGACCTGGTTTGAAGCCAGTCCAGGTACAAAAGTCTGCAATTAACCATCCAGAAGGTGGGCTAGAAGCATGGCTAGAGTAGTAGAGTACCAGCCATGAGCAAAAAAAAAGCCTATTGGAGAGCAAGAGGCTCTGAATTCAAGCCCTAGTACCAACACAATGAAAATAAATAAAATACTATAAAATAAGGGAAAACTGGGAAAGAGCAAGGAAGGGGTGACATTGTCCAAAAAGAAATGTACTGTTACCTGACTTATGAACTGTAACCCCTCTGGTACATCACCTTTCCAATAACAATAAAAAATTTAAAAAATACTGTAAAAGAAATAATTGCATATAATCATGTATAAATGACTTATAATTTTTGAACTGGAAAATTGGTTTTGACTGTTTATTTCTACATAATTATATACAAAATAGTAAGTTAACAAGTGATAAAGTGACAATATTTGTAATACAACATGTTAAGATCCAGAATATATAAAATTATAAAGAAACAAAATAATTATAAATAAAAATTCTCCTTTAGTGACTATACTAAAAGACACTGAATTGCATACTTTAGGGGAAAGTTTTATCTTTCTTTAAAAAAAAAGCTAAAAATTTTCAACAAAAGAGTAAAAAAAATTTTCAACCATGTAGACATTAAAAAAAAAAAGCTACATCCTAGAATACAAAAAGGTAAAATCAAAATAAATGTTTCAACAAAACGGGAATAGGATTTCCAGCTCTGCTGCCCACTCCTTGGGAAGCTAACCTGGATGCTTGAGCCTCGTCCTGTTCTAACATGCAGAAGGAAATCACAAATTCTCTCAAAATTTAATTTCCAGAAAAACTAGTTTGTATGTTGACAGCTATGGAGGAGGAAGAAGCATGACGTGGAAACACAACAGCAATGTCTTTGGGCGGGTAAGAGAGGACTATGAAGAGATCTGCCCCAACCACCTTAGAAATAGCGAGTGAGCAGTGGTATTTGCAGAGGAGACACTGGAGGCCTCTCCAAGTCTTTGTCCCTTTAATGACCTCAGTGAGAAAGCAGCTGGAGTAGGTAGCATTGACTAAGGCTGGGTGATTGGTTGGAGAGCTGAAGAATGGAGATTGGAATAGCTGATGGATCTAGGAGAGGTGAAAGGACCCTGAAAACTTCACTAAGATCTCTGGTTGGAGTTTCATGCTGCTATGGTTGTGGATCTTTCTCTCGACACATTCAGGTACATGGGGGCAGAGCAGGCAGAGTTCTTAAGAAATGGAGTCTTGCTGACACGAGGAAGAAAGGAGCAATGGAGTGAAGGCTCTGAAGGGAGTGGGTACAAAATGTTCTAGAAACAAAGAAGTTCAGTGGGGCCTCAAAAGGAGAAGACTGACTTGTTTCACTCTTTTGGTACTAGGAATTGAATATAAAGAACACTCTACCACTGAAATCTACTTCTAGCCTGAGAGGTACCATTAAAATTAAGAATCCGGGGCTGGGAAGGTGGCTCAGTGGTAGAGCGCTTGCCTTGCATGCATGAGGCCCTGGGTTCGATTCCTCAGCACCACATAAGCAAAACGAAAAAAGCCGGAAGGGGCGCTGTGGCTCAAGTGGTAGAGCGCTAGCCTTGAGCTGAAGAGCTGAGGGACAGCGCCCAGGCCCAGAGTTCAGGCCCCCATGACCAAACAAACAAACAAAAAAAGAATCCATGGATTGGAGGTCCTGCTGAGGCCTGAAGATTGTTGGATTGTTCTAGCTACTCAGAAAGCTGAGAGTTGAGGATCACCGTGTGAAGCCAGCCAGGATGTAACCTAGGAAAAACAAACAAACAAAACAGTGGCAGATGTTTGGAACTGAGACTAAGGAAGGGTTCCACAACTGGTCATGGCAAAGAAATGGATGATGAGCGCTGATCTTACTGACTGGAGATCATTAGCAGAGAAATAGCCAAGAGATCACAGACAGCAACTAAAATCTGAAGAACAAAAGAGTCCTGTAGGGTGGTCTACCTGTGGGAGTCTCTATGTCCCCATGTGTGACACTTTTCAAGCTGGGAGTGCTTGGACAGAAGGGAAAGAGAATGCAAGTGGCACCAAAAAGGTAAGAAAACCACTGGAAAGCAAGCAGTGAAGGAGGCTGCCAAAACACGAGCAGTGGCTGTGGAGGCTGTGGTGGATGCGGGAACAGCGGGGCAATCTCCCCATCCACACTGCCGGACCCTACACTCTGACTCTCGAATTTAGCAAGCTGGAAATCTGAGAGTCTGCATGACTGCACATTTCCTAGGCGGAGCTGTTTTAGCTGGTCTGGGAACCACCTCTTCTGAAAAACTCAGAACACAAAGAGGAATAATAGGAAGACTAGGAAGAATGTTTGTAATCAGTATTTTTTCTCAGTTATGCTGACTTCAATCAACCTTCACAACACTGAGTATGAATATGCACGAGCCCACTCTGCTGTAAGGGTCAAGCCACATCTTTAGAAACCAGAACAGTTCTCAAGAATCTTTTGTGTTACATATAACCTTTTAGGAAGATCACCAAATGTATTATTATTATTATTTAGTCTACATATCCTCATTTCTTGGTTAAAAACAGTTGAGTCAGGTGCCAGTGGCTCATGCCTGTAATTCTAGCTACTCAGTAGGTGGAGATTTGAGGATCATGGTTTGAAGCCAGCCAGGCGAGAAAGTCTGTAAGACACTTTTTCTAAAAAAATAAATAAATAAAACCAGAAGTGGAGCTGTTGTTCAAGTGGTAGAGCACTAGTCTTGAGCAAAAAAAAAAAAAGCTCAGGAGAGCACCCAGGCTCTGAGTTCAAGCCCCAGGAGCAGATACACACTCACACACACACACACACACACACAAAATATGTTGAATAGAAATGACTATTACTGTCACTCTGTTTCATATAGGTAATGCTATAATTTAGCTATTAGTTAGTCGTGTTTTTAAATTGGTTGGTAGTCTAAAAGTATTTCAGACATTCATGTTATTAATATATGAAATCAAGAAAGCTTTCATATTTTTTTCTCTCTAAAATACATGCCCACTTTGAATTTTTACTTTAGGTATCAGACTGGTGCTTAAATCCTGTTACACTTCAAGAATTCAAAAATTTAAATACAGGGAGCCAATACACATGATTTATACATAATTGTAACTTGTAAATGACAAAGTGAAAATATTTTACAGAATTTTTAAATATAAATTTAAATATAAATTTTAGTATGGTTAAGTAAAATTAAACATTCATTGTCATCACATACATATTAAGGTCTGATAAGTTCCTATAGAAACTTGCATACATAATTAACATTCATTGGTATTTTGCTTCAAATTCAACACTTTTCAAACCATAGGTAATACTTCTTTAAGCTAAATGTCAATGTAAATTTTGAATATAGAACCACTGAAGACTCTTATATAACCTGAGACACAAAAAACCCAAGTATCATTTGTTAGCAACTCTAAACATTTGGGAAGGCACACAAATCTTTATCTTAAGTTAAAACTCAACAGGAAATAGGTTTCAATTTACTTTTATAAAATCTTCATCTTTAAAACAATCAGGAACTAGAGCTTTTGGATTTGTTTAGAGCAGGGCCTATAATACATATCTGACAATTATGTGTAGAATGAATCTGGGAATCTATTCAATGTTCAGAGATCCAAATGATAAAACTTCCTATAAATTATGTCACTAAAAATAAACATATAGCTATTAAAAATGCAAGTGAAAACGGTTTAATCATCTTAGAGCAGTCAAAATACAATATAAGATTGATATATTTGGTGTAAGAAAAACAATCATTTTACTATATGTATTTCAAACTCTTATATGATTCATTTAAAGTCGATGGCTAATTTTAATCAAAGTTGCTTTCAAACATTGTCATAATGTCACTTTGAAGAGTCATATCAATGGTACCCGCCATCTGTGGAAAAGAGAACATTTTCATTATTTAAAAATGTATGCCTTTATTACAGCTATATAAAATAGTTATGCAACATCTGGAACAAATCTTACAATATATAAACCATTTATTTAACACAGTGAACTTGTATATAGTTTTTATTCATATTAAAATACTGCTTTTTAAAAAATATATTGTCTATGTAAAAATAACTCACAAGAATAAGTAATGTTTGATTTCTTTCTCTGAGACAGGTTATTTCTTAGCATTCACAGAACAGGTATAGACTTAGAGCCACTGTTTTACATAGTCCTGGATAAATAAACATTTTCTAAGTAAACCATTATTTTCCTTATGTGAGAGAGCTGTTACATATATACTGTATCTATAGTTTTCTTTGACTGCTACTTACTTACTGGAGGCAAATGACTTAATCAAACACTGTCCTATGTCTAGTATCAAAGTTATGTAGAACATTCAAAACGATGCTCTTTAATGTTTCTTCTTTTTTTCAATTTCTAGTTTAATCCTAAAAGTAACAAAATCCCAATTTCTGAAAAGTCAGGAGACAAAAGTGATCAATAATGCCATCTTTATTTTTGTTTTTGCTGGTACCAAGTTTTAAACTTTGGGCCTTACACTCAATCAGCTTATTTGATTGGTAGGAACTCTGCCATAACTCCAGCCTGGCTTTTTGTTGGTTATTCTTCTCCCTGTTACACCCCCCAACCCCGCCCCGCAGTCAGTAGTGCGGCTCGAACTCAGGGCCTAGGTGCTATCCTTAGGCTCTTTTGCTCAAGACTAGCACTCTACCACTTTGAGCCACAGTTCTATTTCCAGTTTTCTAGTGGTTAAATATAGATAAGAGTCTCATGCACTTTCCTGCCTGGATTGGCTTTGAACTGTGACCCTCAGATCTCAGCCTCCTGAGTAGCTAGGATTACAGGTGTGAGCCAGCTTTGTTGCTTATTCTTGAGAAGTCATTCAGGTTTTTGTGCCTAGGCTGGCTTCAAACCTTGATACACTGAATCTCAACCTTCTGAATAGGTAGGATTATATGTGGGAGCCACCAGTGCCTGGCAATCCCACCATCTAACTAAAGCACCATTATCAGTGTAGCATTCTTATTATTTACCTTTTTAAACTTATTCTCTTGGATTGGATTGCTTGAAGTTCATTAATATTTTATTCTTTTTTTGTTGTAATAGTTTTTGTTTTGTTTTGCGGGACTTGGGCTTATACAAGGTAGGCATTCTACCACATCCCAGCTTTTTTTGTTTTATTTTTTCAGATAGTTGCATGTTTTTTGACAGGGCCAACTTAAGATCAATAGCCTCTAACCTACTCCTGCATACATCAGGGCTTATAGGTGTAAACCACATCTGGACTGTTGGTTCAGATTGGGTCTTAGTAACATTTTACCCAGGATGGCCTTAAACCACAGTCCTCCTGATCTCTGTCTTCTGTGTGGCTGAAATTACAGATGTGAGTCAGTTTGCCCAGCCCAACATTTTATTTGTATGTACTCTGAAGCCTAAAAACAGCCGTGTCTAAAGTCCCACTTCTCACACACTACCTAGTGTTTGTATTAAAAAATCTTTAACATAGAACAGTGCTTTTATTAAATGTTAAAATCCTTTTTTTTAAAATGAGCTGAAGTAGACAACAAGGAAACAAACGTTTGCTTTTATTAGGTTAGCTATTCCTTGCCATCTGAAATGACATCAAATACTAAAATTCTGAAAACTGATCCTCTTCTCAGGAAGCAGCAGCATGCCTGCTGCCTATGGTAAAGCCACCAAGTCCTGAGCGGGTGGTTGGGCTCCAGGATGTGAGCTGACATTTTCACTGGCTACACAGGCAGAGTGTCAATTATGACTACCTATTAAAAGGATAATACAAGGCTGGGCCTGACTTCTATAAATTACAGACATTTCTTAAAATTCACCTTAAAAAAATTCTTCCAGCTGGGAAGGTAGCTCAGTGGTAGAGCGCTTGACTTGCATGCATGAGGCCCTGGGTTCGATTCCTCAGCACCACATAAGCAGAAAAAGCTGGAAGTGGGGCTGACACTCAAGTGGTAGAGCACTAGCCTTCAACTGAAGAGCTGAGGGACAGCGCCCAGGCCCAAAGTTCAGGCCCCACGACTGACCAAAAAAAAAAAAAAAAAAAAATTCTTCCATCTTACAGCAGCACTTTCCTAATACCCAGTTCCTTGGATGCCATATGTCCAACCTAGATACTTTCTTTTGTTTTTTGATCAGTCGTAGGGCTTAAAATCGGGGCCTGGGCACTGTCCCTGAGCTCTTTTTGCTCAAGGCTTGTGCTCTACCACTTTGAGCACCAGTGCCACTTCTGGTTTTCTGGTGGTTATTTGGAGACAAGAGTCTCATAGACTTTCCTGCCTGGACTGGCTCTGAATTTCGATCTTCAGATCTTAGCCTCCTGAGTAGCTGTGATTATGGGCGGGTGTGGGCCACTGGTGCCTGTCTGATAATTTTCTTGATTTGGCCTGCAATGTGCAGTGTCTATGGAAGTATATAGACACAAACATACCATAAAATTGAAGCATGTGTAAGTAAACTTGCTTTTAGTGAAAAAAGGATTATAAATAGTCTTATTTTAGACTTTTTTCCTATTCTTGTATCTTAGATTTGATGGAAATTAATGCATATGGGGTATTTACTGACATAATCAGTGAGGCTCTACACTTGTTAATTGTGGATAACATGACATAATACTAATGAGTGAACTTAGCAGCTGACACCATAAGCTAGATATTCCTATGTTATCATTCAGCCATTCAAAATTAAGATCACAAGCTTATCAGAGAAACTGGTGAATGTATTGAAATGAACTTTTAGAGGCTCTGTTACATGTTCTATTCCCAGTCAAGTTCCAGAAAAGTGTTTAGAGTATTGGTTCTATCAGCTTAGCTAGCTGAATTGTTAGATGATGACTAGCTTGTTGCAAAATCACTTGGGGGTGACTAAAACCAGGCTCTGGGGACTGTCAACAAGAACCCTCCCCCTGCCTCCCCCTGCCCCTATCTGTAATCCATTTCCTTGGAAGGTAGAGGTAGGAAGATCAAAATTCAAGGCTGGTTTGAATCTGAAAAACACTATCTGGAAAACAGAAAATGCGGGAGGCATGGATAGAGGGCAGCGTGCTTGCCTAGCAAGTGCAAAGACTATTGAGTTCAATCACCAGCACCACAAAACAAACAAAATACCCACCCCAAACAAAACAAAGATTAAAATAGATAATATATAAAGTTGCTAATTAAGGCTAGGCACTGGTGGCTCACACCTGTAATCTTACCTCAGATCTCAGGAGGCTGAGATCTGATGACTGTGTTTCAAACCTACCAGAAAAGTCCCTATGTGCGCTACTCTCCAATTACTCACTCAAAAACCAGAAGTGGAGCTCTGGCTCAAAGTGGTAAGGTGCTAGCCTTGAGCAAAAGAGCTCAGGGACAATACCCAGGCCAACAAAAACCCCATGACTGACCAAAAAAAAAAGAGTTGCTAGTTAAATTAATTAAAACCAAAGTTTAAAATTCGCTTCTTAGTTATATCAGCCTCATTTTAAGTATTCAATAGCTATTTGTGGCATATGTGGCTAATGGATTCTGTATTTGGTTGCTTCCATAAATAACACTTCTATCTCTGTAGATAGTTCTCTAAACAACCCTGCTGTTACAAAACAGTCCAGGGGCCGGGACACAGCTCAAGGGTAAGAGTATTCTCTAGCCAGAGGTCCTGGGTTTAATTTGAAGCACCACAAAAATGAACTAATAGTCTTTGCATAACAAGGTCAAATGCAATTTTTCTACTTCAACATTAGAAAATATGAAGCTAGTTGGGCCTGATAATCAGGGTTTCTAATCCCAGTACTTAGGAAGATTAATCAGGTTCAATGCCAACTGGGGCTACATAGGAAGACCCTGTCTTTAAAAAACAAAGGTGACAAAATTGTATTATTTCTGAGGAAGTTAATTTGTATTATAATCCATCCTATGACCAAAGCCAATGTCATTCTTTTTCTTAAACCTATGCTCCTTTATGTCTTGTGAATCCATGTCATTCTCAAGTTCTTAAAATTTAGCATTAATGAGTACCAAGTATGCAAAGAAGCAGAAAGAAACACTGCCCATAAAGAGACTTTTTTTTTGCGGGGGGGGTCCAGTTGTGGAGCCTGAACTCTGGGCCTGGGCGCTGTCCCTCAGCTCTTCAGCTCAAGGCGAGTGCTCTACCGCTTGAGCCACAGCGCCACTTCTGGCTTTTTTCTTTCTGCTTATGTGGTGCTAAGGAATCGAACCCAGGGCCTCAGGCATACAAGGCAAGGTGCTCTACCACTGAGCCACCTTGCCAGCCCATAAAGAGACTCTTGAATCAACTAAAACTGACTTTGAACTAATACTGATTTTGGAATTAGGTAAGTCCAATAAAACCATTTTAAATATATTCTATTTATTCAAGAGTTTGACAGATATATAAAGAAGATCCAAATGAAAATTTAGGGGCAACTACAAAATATAAGATGAAAGAGTACAGAAGAATTAACAGTGTCAAATTAAGAGGATCAGACTCTGAAGAAAAGATGTGTGAATTTATCTGAAATGAAACAAAGAAGAATTTTAAGAATCACAAGACATATATGAGCGATGAGACAATTTTAAGATTCAAGACCCTTACTCTATATTATGCTTGCCTCTTTGACTATGAAGTTTTTCTGTTAAGCTCTGATTTTAGAATCTGATATGAAAAACCACTCTAATGCATCTTTGAACATACAAAATCATTTAGTAACTAAAACCCACTTACTGCTTCTCTCCTCCTCCGCTCTTGCTCTTTCTCCCTTGCTAAATTACGATCTTTGAGAAGCCACGGATTGCACTTATCTTGAGCTTCTGATGACGGCTCATGTTCTTTCTGCTCTTCTCCATGGCACCTGTTTTGCATTTTATTTGAAAAAGACTCTAGAGTCAATGCATTTCCAAGGTCCCTTAAAGAAACAGTAAAGATCAAAGTAGGCTTCAAGTTCTATAAAGCTTTTTATTACAAAGGTACATTGTTAAGTAACAAAATATACAGCAATGTATTTGACATCCATTTTCTTTCCTTTTCTGCTCAAGGCTAGGTACTCTACCACTTGAGTTACAGCTCCACTTTCAGATTTTTGGTAGTTAACTGGAGGTAAGAATCTCCTGGACTTTTCTACCCAGGCAAGGCTGGCTTCAAACCACGATCTGCAAATCTTAGCCACCAGAGTAGCTAAGATTACAGGAGCGAGCCTCTGGTGCCTGGCTCTTATGATTACTTTTTAAGCTATAATGTTGATGTGCCAAATTTTATGCTGTATAATCTACCTTAACCACAAAAAGTAAAGATTTGGGGAAATTTATTACGGTATGCCACTATCTTTTGTGTGTATGCGTACTGGTCCTGGGGCTTGAACTCAGGGCCTGGGAGCTGTCCTTGAGATTTTATGCTCAAGGCTAGTGCTCTACCACTTGGGCCAGCCACAGCTCTGCTTCTGGCTTTTTAGTGGTTAATTAGATATAAGAGTTTCATGGATTTTTCTTTCTGGGTTGACTATAAACCTGGATCCTCAGCTCTCAGTCTCCTCAGTAGCTAGCACCTGGTCCAACGACCACTATCTTCTTATGTGTACAATGGAAAAAGTGGAAGATTGTTTGGAAAAATGTATTATATTATAATTTGGTAATATTTGCATCTTTATTCACATCTTCAAAATACATACTATTAGACAAATACCAGTGGAATATAACTTTTGCAATTGTAATTTGGTCTATGTTTCTACTAAATAGCCATACCATAATCATTTGAAAAGATTTAAAATACATTTCTGCACCTCCCAAAGTATTTTTTAATCCAGTAAATTACAGACCTCTGATTTTCTTGAGATATTTTTGGTTCCTTTGTATTTTGTTCCAGATGTTTCCGTATTAGTTCTTGTGTCCGAGCTTTTACTTCCTTTTCTATTGCTGCTTTTCTAAACTGGTTGAAGAGCTCATCTGAGGATTTCAGTACACCTGAGGATTTCACTGGTTTGCCTAAACTTTTCCAAGAGTCTGCATTCTTAATCTTTATATCCTAAAATAAATAAATATTTTCAGTCTATGCCTACAGATTCAATAAAATTTTGGAAAAAAACGTGCTATCTCATAATAGATCAAATTAGGATTCCAAAGGCTATATACTTTAATAAAGGTTACCAAAATGTGCATATGGTAAAGTGAAAACAGGACACTAGGATGACAAATCATTTAAACTCAATCATTCATCTCAAACCAAATTAAAATAGCACAATTGTCAATTATTTCAATTTAATTTGCAGGCAACTAAAGCAGATATGCAAATAAATGAAAGGCAAATAGGATTATGCCATTAAGAATGGGATTTGCATGGGAGTGCTGGGAAGCCTCTGATGTGCAAGTTCTTCCCTTTTGGTAGCAAGAAAAAAGAATAACTGGTATGATCATTGTTCTTAGGATCTGCCAAGGTTATCAATGTTGTAATGTAATTGATGCAATAAACAGATGCAATTAAAATTTTTACTCGTCGCACTTAGAGACTTTGAAATTTAATAATATATTTAATTTTGCTAATTCAACATGTAGGATATTTTACATCTTTTTCATCCTAAGTCCTCCACATTGTTCTTCTTTTTTTTTTTTGTTCTTCTTTTATGTTACAGTATTTTTCAAATTCTAAACTCTGCTTAGAAACAACTGAGCTATAAGTAATTTCTTTCTCATGTTTTCTTGGCTTCCTTGCTTGCCTGGTACTCTACACTTGAGACCCATCTCTAGCCCTGCCTTTTGGTGGTTATTTTGGAGGTAAGAGTCTAGCTGACTTTACTGCCTCAACTGGCTTTGAACCTCAATCCTCTGGATCTCAGCCTCCTGAGTAGCTTATAGGCATGATTACAGTGCCCAGAAGATCCCACAACATACATACATACGCAGCTTCAAATATACTTAGTTTTCTAATATGTCAGTTTTAAAATTCAAAACATTAAAAAAAATTTAAGCCAGGAGCTGGTGACGAATCCTTGAGATTTAAAGATTGTGTGTAAAGCCAGCCCAGCAGGAAAGTCCCTGAGACTCTCATCCAATTAACAAAAACAAACCCCACCCACTCAACAGCCAAGAGTGGACCTGTTAGTTCAAGTGGTGGAGTGCTATCCTTGACAAAAAAAAAAAAATTGAGACAGCAAGCCTCCAGGTCCTGAGTTCAAGCTCCAGGACTGGCAAAAAAAAAAAAAAAAAGTAGAACAGTTTCTCAATTGGCCAAAGATGAGTACTGCACCCTGACTCTGTCTTCAGTCACCAGTGACTGCCTTCTTGTTACAATTCTCTGTTGGAAAATAAGATCCTTTAGTTGACCAAGTTGAGCCTTGGAGCTTGTGCTGTTAGCCTGTTCCATTGTTTGGGGCACAAGTAAGTTTTATTGACAATTCATAGGAAAGACTGACTTCAAAAGCATGGCTGGGTGACCACTGGTGAAGGTCTTTGAATATTGTGGCAAGATAAGGGAAGGATGTCCCCCAATTCTTCCTTTGGGACAGAAACTGAAGGGCTTATTGATCTATTAGTCATACATTTTCTTCTATCTTTTATGGGATCCTAAACAAAGCTATTGTATACTGAGAGAACTAACATAAAGATGCTGAGGTATGTGGATTAGAACAAGGAGGCTTACAAGCCAGTCATTACAGGTCCAATTATGAATGTGAAGGTAGCTCAAATGAAGGAGATAAGGCCTGGTTTTTAGGGTAAAAGGGAAAGGATTTATCTTTAGTAAAAACCCAAAAAATTTAACAAATCCTTGGCTGTAGGAGTCTGGGAAAGTTGTCAAGCATGAAAAGATCATGAAAGGCCAGGTGTAGAAGAATAGATCTGAGTCCTCTGCATAGAGATCATAAACAGATCACTGTGGTAGGTAATCCATCAAAGAGCTTTGTGCCCTCCTGAGGCGCTAGGAGGAGTGCAGGCATTTCAGAACTCACTGGCTCCTATGAAGGGCCAGTTTCAGGCACAGTGGAATATAGGTATGTGGTAGACAAAATTACACTGGATCTTAGCTGGTGGTGATGCTTCCATCTTCTCTCAGGCAAACCAGTATATACACACATTTTTTGTTGTTGTTGTTGCACTGGCATAAGAAAAGCAGGCATTTCTGGCATTCAAACATTAGGTTCTGGTTGAGCGTCCTACAATGCAAGAACCACCCCCAACAGATTTCCCCACACTAATATGTCAGTGCTACAGCTAGAAAACTGCAGTTTAGGTTGAAAATAGGTAGTAGGGAAAGAGATAACAAAGAATCATGGTTAGAGACTACAAGAGATGTTGGAGGGCTGGGAAGGTGGCTCAGTGGTAGAGTGGTTGCCTTGCATGCATAAGGCCCTGGGTTTGATTCCTCAGCACTACATAAATAGAAAAGCTGGAAGCAGGTGCTGTGGCTCAAGTGGTAGAGCGCTAACCTTGAGCTGAAGAGCTCAGGGCCAGCGCCCAGGCCCAGAGTTCAAGCCCCATGACCGACCAAAAAAAAAAAAAAAGAGAGAGAGATGTTAGAAGAGCTTCACAATAAAATTATTGAATAAGAGAAAATAACGGAGATGGAGAAGTTTGTCTTGACAAGAAGAGATATCTTTTCTTGAGGCAGAAGTAGACAGCAGGTGCTCCAAGTAGAAACGTGAGAGGTCAGGAGCTTGTTGAAATCTTGTGTTACTCTCAGCTCTCATTTGGGAATATGCAATTGTAGTTTACCCATAAAGACTAATCCTCAAAGGTTGCTTGTAGCACCCAAACTTCGTAGCCCTTTTTAAATAAATGTCAATGGTGGTGGTGCAAAAGTGTGGGAAGTGATATCAAAAGGGGAACAGTTGGCTTGGCCATGTTTTATGAATAGAACAAGTCACCCCAATGTTTTACTTATGACTATGTGCTAGGCATTGGAAATTGAAGAAGAAGAAGGAGGAGGAGGGGGAGGAGGAGGAGGAGGAGGAGGAGGAAGAGGAGAGGAAGAAGAGGGAGAAGGAGAAAGAGGAGAGGAAGAAGAGGAAGAAGGAGAGGAGGAAGAAGAGGAAGAAGAAGAGGAAGAAGAAGAAGAGGAAGAAGAAGGAGAAGGAGAAAAGGAAGAAGAAGGAGAAGAGGAAGAAGAGGAGGAGGAGGAGGAGGAAGAAGAAGAAGAAGAAGAAGAAGAAGAAGAAGAAGAAGAAGAAGAAGAAGAAGAAGAAGAAGAAGAAGAAAGAAGAAAGAAGAAAGAAGAAGAAGAGGAAGAAGAGGAGGAGGAGGAGGAGGAGGAAGAAGAAGAAGAAGAAGAAAGAAGAAGAAGAAGAAGAAGAAGAAGAAGAAGGAAGAAGAAGAAAGAAGAAGAAGAGTAGTACAGGTCAATTTGACCTGTAGTACAAGCTTCAACAAAATGTCATATACCTGATATTCTGGTTGCTATTTTTGTGATAATCTCTTCCTTTTGGGATATTTTCTTCTTCTTCTTAAACCGTATTTTGAGCAAGTTAAAATTACCAAGATTTGTTATCCAGAAATAGGAATACTGTAGTACATCAGAAACCAAATGTTTGGTTTAGGAAATTGAGTGGGGCTGGAGGAATATCTCAGTGGTAGGGTGCTTGCCTAGCAAGTATGAGGCACTGAGTTCAATCCCCTGTGCTCCCCCCCACAGAAAATCCACCACCACTATCAATGACTACAAAAGAAATGCAGTAACTCTATTCTTTTAAACTAAAGGGGTGGCTAAAACTCTGTTAACACATAAAAAAACAATAAAATAGAAATGTAATGTTGGTTTCTAGAAAAGGCGAAATGTGGCACTGATCCATTTTTATCAATAACAAAATACCTTTGTTAAACAGTCTTGAATGATAATACAACTATGGAACATTATGTTAATACAACTATGGAACATTATATATGAAATCAAAGATAGAGGCTAAGATGTAGCTGAGTGGTAGAGCCCTTGTCTAGCATGCAGCTGGCCCTGGTTCAGTCTCCAACATAGGATGCAGGGGGTAGGGGAAGGGAATCAAAGATACTTTAGAAAGAACAAGGGCCAAATCAATATGTTCCTCAGAGTGCAATATTCAATTTCATAAGCATACCCAAACGATAATTTTAAGTATAAAAGCTGAGAGCTGTCTTCTGAGTACTTGTAAGGAAAAAAGACCAACAGAAGTAGAATAATACCCGGGGCTGGGAAGGTGGCTCAGTGGTAGAGCACTTGCCTTGCATGCTCGAGGCCCTGGGTTCGATTCCTCAGCACCACCTAAGAAAAAAGCCGGAAGTGGCGCTGTGGCTCAAGTGGTAGAGCGCTAGCCTTCAGCTGAAGAGCTGAGGGACAGTGCCCAGGCCCAGAGTTCAGGCCCCACGACTGGACCACCCCCCAAAAAAAGAAGTAGAATAATACTCCTAACTTATTTGGTTTGTGAGAATTAAAACTCAAATGACTAGAATTTATCTGATGTATCCCAAGAATATTTATTGAAAGAATGGTAGCAGTGTATAGGCTGAAGATTAAACATACATAAGACTCCATTAGGAATCTCCCACTTGAAGTCTAGAACATGATTTTAAAGACATGCTTTAAAAATTGAGATTAGAGGCTGGGGACAAATTTGATGGTGGAACACATATTTATAGCACGTGCGAGGCCTTAGGTTCTATTGCTAGCAGTGCAAAACAATTGTGACAGCAGGCAAATACCAAAATAAAATTTGCAATTAAATGTAAGCACAGGGCCAGCTGCTGGTGGCTTTTACCTGTAATCCTACTCAGGAGGCTGAAACCTGAGGATCATAGGTTAAAGCCATCCCAGGCAGGAAAGTTCCTCAGACTCAGAAATGGAGCTGTGGCGCAAGTGTTAGAGCTCTCACCTTGAGCAATAAAATCTCAGGGACAGTGCCCAGGTCCTGAGTTCAAGCCACAGGACTAGCACCAAACATATACATACACAAGGATTGAGTGTAGTAGGTAGGTAAAAAAGTGGTGGTGATCATATATGATTTTTTTTCTTTAAAAAAAATTAGGCTTTAGAGATCTGAAATCTCACTCAAGTTAAGGCTTAAAATACCTTCTTCTTTTTTTCCTTTTTTTTCTTTTTGCCAGTCCTTGGTTTTGAACTCAGGGCCTCGGCACTGTCCCTGAGCTCTTCAGCTCAAGGCTAATGCTCTACCACTTGAGCCACAGTGCTACTTCTGGCCTTTTCTATGTGGTACTGAGGAACTGAACCCAGGGCTTCCTGCATGCTAAGCAAGCACTCTACCACTAAGCCAAATTCCCAGCCTACCTTCTTCAGTTCTTACTCTATTTTAAATCCCTTCACCATAACAAGTGAAAACATGATGTTTTACCTTCTGCACAGGAACTTGACATTCAGAGTCTAACACCATTGGGCCATTGTCATCAGATGGATGCACCACTGTGGGGCCATTCAAGACTTCAGAATCACCTAGAAGTACACATTTTAGAATGGTACAATCAAACTATTTCGGTATATTTATCTAGGATTTTCTTTTTCCTTCCTTGTAGGACACTGTACAAATAAAAGGACTTTTTTTTAATGCATCTTCAATTTGGTGTATTTTTTAAAATCAGGGACTTGTTATAGTACAAAATTAAATATTTCTCAATTGAAAGCGACTTCTTGGTTTCCTTTCTGTCACTGTTTTTGTTGTGGTCAGCATGAAAAATAGCTGACATCGTGACTGACCCACAAAAATCTACTTATCTGTCCTGGTGTGTACAGTTCTGACTTTAGCTCGAGAGGTAGGTCTTAATTAGGCTTAGTTAGTCATGACTAGTTTGTTTCCCCACCAGTAACTCAATTAGGAAGAACAGGATATAGTAGGCTTCCAGAGAAAGACTCTGACTGGGTAGCTAATCTGAGAACAAATACAGCAAAGAGCAAATTATCAGACATAGCTGGTTATAATAGCTAGTGAGCCAGGCAGGGGTTAAGAAATGCAAACAAAAAACAAAAAAGAAATGCAAAAACTTTTGACCCTCTTACATGAAGAAAACAAAATATTAAATCGTACTATTCCTTTCTGTCCTTTTTTTTGGAGGGGGGGTGCTGGGATTGAACCCAGGGACTCATTAATTCTTAAACTTCCAATTAAATATTTTATTTATTACTGTTGGTGAAGATAAACTACAGAGGCAGAGTTGTTTTTATGTTTTGCACTGGTACTGGGGCTCTGGTCCTCTTAGGGCCTCAAGTTTTTGCTTGTCTTTCTTGCTTATAAGCTGGTGCTCTCACTTGAGCCAGGCCTCCCGTCTAGCATTTTGCTGGTTAACAAAAGATGGAATCTTACAGGCAAAAAGCAAGATCCAATTTGAAAAATAAGAAAAAAACAAAAAGAACTAGAGGCATGGCTCAAAAGGTGGAAAGTACAGAGGTGGCCTTCTGGTGTTTACCACAGGTGGTATTCTTACACTGAATCAAGCAAGGGGCAGAGTAAACTTACCCCATATACACCTTGGCCCAGGCTCTGTGCCTGGTCTGTAGTGAACGAAGAGACATGAGGTGGGGAAAAAGAAAGAAAAGAAAGTACACAGCTCTAAGTTCAAACCCAAGTACTACCAAAAAGTAAAAACTAAAACAAAACAAAACCCTCCTGGACGCACACTACCTATACCTTTTTCATTTATGTCAAAAGCATCTAGATTTAAAGTTCTCTATTATCTGCACCTCATTTGTTGTTTCAAACTTTTTTCTCCATATTCCTGATAATCCAACTAAAACTTCAGTCACTGAATTATTAGTTTCTCATAACTCTGTTTCCTTTGTCTAGAATGCCTACCAGTCCCTAGATAGGGAATTCTTCTTTTGTCCTCTAATCCTCAACTCAAGTAACATTTATTCTGTAAAATATGCATCTGTCAAAGATATCAGTTCATTCTGCCTCCCTTGCCTCTTTAAATTTTACTTTTGCTTCTTTTAGATATTATCACATACAAATTTGTTACTTCTTCTATAAGTTGGCAAATACTTGATTTGCCTTCTCATTTGCCATGTCAATTTGTTTATGACAACCTTGATATTTCTTTTAAAAATACAATTCAGTGGAGATATTTATGTGATAGGAATACAATGAATTATAAGGAAAATATTATTAACAATTTGTAGCTAAAAAGTTCTGCTTAGCAAGAAAAGTTTCCATTTTGTGGGGACATGAAATGCGGGGATAGAAGAGAACTAGGGTCGGAATTATTTTCAATATGAAAATTTACTTCAATATGAAAATTTCGGCATAAATTTACCAGCCATTTAATTGTAAGATAAAAAGTGATTTTCAAGCTGGGTGCCGGTGGCTCACACCTGTAACTCGTAACTACTCAGGAGGCTAAGATCTGAGGATCACGGTTTGAAGCCAGCCTGGGCAGGAGAGTTCATGAGACTCTTTACCAACTACTCTTATAAACTACTCAGAAAAAGCTCGAAGCGGTACTGTGGCTCAAGTGGTAGATAGCACTAGCCTTCAGCACAAAGAGGCTCAGGAACAGCACCTAAACCAAAGTTCAAGCCCCAAGACTGATAAAAAATAATTATGTAAATAAAATTGATTTACATTGTGATTAAACTCTGGAAAGGTAAATTTCTTTTTACAGGTTGGATATGTACATGTACAATTTCCTTTGGACATAGCGCCACCCACAGTTAGCAAATATTACAGTAGAATGAGTATCTTACAGGTACAGTAGAATGAAACCAGCAATACATCAACACAATCTAAGATGATACAATAGACTCATCCTTTCTGAAGTGACTTTCAATGTCTACCTTTCCTTAAAGGAACATCTCATGTGCGTTATTACCATTGTTTTTCATTACCTTCCTTTTCAAGGGCAATACTCGTCTCAAACATACACTAGTAAAAGTAGCCACTTTTCTCCAGTCTTTTACTAATCAGTCTTCAAACTTATTCACCTCTTAAATTAAAAAAAATAATAAACTGCTCAAAACCAATTCAAAGTTCCTCACTGCATACAGAGCATGGTCTAGATATACTGGTGTCAAAGTAGACTGCGACCCAGAAACGGTATCTTCATAGTCTCTCTGAATATATGATTTTTATTTCCAGAAAATGGTGGATATAAGCATTCCATCATTTGGATGTTTATTCTTCCTCCTGGGTGTCCTTTTCCTGTCTTATAGTCTGTCTGTTTGTCAGGCAGTCAATCTCTTTCTTGTTTGGTATTAAGTGCTGGGAATTGAACCCAGGCTTTGTCATGCTAAACACATGCTCTTAACACTGATCTTACAATAAGATAATGGATCCATTTTTGAGTCTTCAATTCTCTTTTCCTGCCTGGGAAAATTTTTCCTCTCTTTTCCATTTCTCGTTCCTTTAACCCTTTCATAATAAAGTAAACCCTTGCCAAAACTAAAAAAAGGGGGAAAAAAGAAAAAATCTACTTTATCTGTTTTAAATTAATTTTTTGTACAGAGTGAGAAATAGAGATCAGTTTTCTACATGAAGATAATAATGTTTCCCAGAACCATTTGTCCCCTCTCTCCCATACATAGGTGCACACGCAGGCACGCGCTCGTGCGCGCGCGCGCGCACACACACACACACACACACACACAATTTGGCTCTGTTGTAAAAAAAAAAAAATCAGATGGCTGTAGCTGTGTGGATTTCTGCATCTTCTAGGATGTCCCAAATGGCTTCATGTCTATTTCTATGCCAATACTATGCTGTTTTTTTTTTAAACTGTGGCCCTGTAGTATAATTTGAAGTCTGATATTTTGATGTTTCTAGCATTATTATTTTTGCTTAGGATTACTTTTGATATTTAGAGTTTCATGTTTCTATGTGAATTTTAGGGTTGAATTTTCTATTTCTGTGAAGAATGACAATGAGATTTTAATGGGAATTACATTGAATTTGTACTTGGGTTTTGTGGTATAATCATTTTCACAGTATTAGTTATATGTCAGTCCACCATCTTTTGGTGTAGTCTTTCTTCACGGTCTTATGCGTTTTGCTGTAGATATCTTTCATATCTTAAGTTTATTCATAAGGATGTTGTGCATAAATTTTTTCCTAATTTATTTCCCAGCTTGTTCACTATTGGTATATAAAAATGTTATTCAATACTTGTATGTGATTTTCTATTCTTCTACATTACCAAAATTATATAAAAGATAAAGGAGTTTGGGATGTGATCTTTAGAGTCTTTTAAATGTTGGATTATAAAATCTGCAAACAGGAACAATTTGATTTGTTTCTTTCCTATTAGGATCTTTCTTTCTCTTGCTTATTGATCTGGCTAGGATTTCCAGTATTATAGTGAATAAGATTGAACATTGTTGTCTCATTCATGAATTTAAGGGAAATAATTTGTTTTTTTACATGTAGTATGATGCTGGCCATAGGTTTGTTATACATAGCCTTTATTATGTTCCAGTATGTTCCTTCTATTCCTAATTTTAGATTTTTTTTATCATGAAAGGATGTTGAATTTTTTCAAAAACCTCTTTTAAGTCTATTGAGATGACCATATGATGTTGTCCTGAATCTTTTACGTGGTTTGTGTATGTTGAACCATTCTTGCATCCCTGGAATGAAACCAACTTGATCATAATGTAAAAACTTGTCTTGTCTTGTTGAGCTCTACTTGTAAGAATTTTATCAAGAAGTTTTGTGCCTACATCTGTCAAGGAAATTGCCTATAATATTTTGTTGTGTCATCCAGTTTCAGCAACAGTAATGCTGGTTTTATAAAATGAGTTTAGTAACATTTCTTCCCTTTCTAGTGCATAGAATAGCTCGAGGTGCTGGTTCTTAAGGTCTGACAGAATGTGTAAATGAACTCATCCATTCCTGGGCACTTTTTTGTTTGGAGACAATTACTGCTTTAACCTTGTTATTTGTTACAGATCTGTTTAAGTTGTGTGTATCTTATGGCTCAATTCTGCACCTAAAAATGTATGCATTTATTCTAGATTATCGAATTCAGTATAAGTATTCTATTGGTATTTGTTGTGAATATATTTGTGTGGAACATAACATTTTATGCTCTCTGCTTTTAGAGTTTTTTGTTGAAAACATCTGTTAAGGCTTTGTCTTTTTATGTGGCTTATTGCTTTGCTCTCTCTCTCTTTTTATTTTTTTTTGCCGGTCATGGGGCCTGAGCTCTGGGCCAGGGCGCTGTCCCTCAGCTCTTCAGCTCAAGGCTAGCGCTCTACCACTGGAGCCACAGCACCACTTCCAGCTCTTTCTGCTTATGTGGTGCTAAGGAATTGAACCCATGGCTTCATGTATGCAAGGCAAGCACTCTATTGCTAAGCCACTCATTTATATATATTTAATGCTTTTATTATGCTGTGTCTAGGGATCTTTTCTCCTCTTGCCTATTTGGTTTTCTGAAAACCTCCAGAACCTAGACAACCTTCTCTTTTTCTGTGATGTCTTTGACTATTATTTTGTTGAATACATTTTCTGTACCTTTAGTTTGTTGTGTCTTCTATGCTCATGATTCATAGGTTTGGTCTTTTGATGGTTTCCCAGTGGTCTTGCATGTTCTACTCATATCTTCTTAGCATTTTTCTGTCATCGTTCAATCTAATTCCTCTTCTTTGTCTTTGGTCCCAGACACTATTTTCAGCTTGCTATATTCTGATAAGGTTTTCTACTGTGGGTTTTTTTTTGCGTTTTTCTTTCATTTTTAGGCTCTAGGGATTGAATTCTTGAGCCTCAAATCAGGTAGCTGGATTATAGTTGTGAGCCACTGGCACCTGACTCTTGTAATTCCTGATTCTCTGCTCTTCCTTTCTTTCTCTCTTTGGAATACGGTTTCAGTTACCTGACTCTTCTCATGTATGCAGGGAGTCAAAAACGGGGATTCTTCTAATCTGACACCTTGCTGTCTCTTTCGTTTTTACTGTTTCAGTTTTCAGATACGGTCTCAAAACTTTTGTCTGTGCTGGTCTTGGGCTTCAATCCTCCATATTCACCTCCTCGTATGTGGGAGTAGGGATTGGAAATATTTTCCTGACAAGGTCATTTGAATATTTGTGGACCATACAAAATTATCAATTCAGGTAGATAGATGGGCCTCAGTTGGCCAAAGGGAAGCACAGATGTATGTCTGCCCTGTCATGTACCAACTGATTTTGTGGGTCTTATATAGCCTGATAGAGGTTGGGGATGAAAGAAAAGGTTCCCCAAACCATGACCAGCTTGTCTTTTAGATAGGCTAACTTTTTGTGGATTTTTGAGGACTGCAGTCTTGGATTACAATCCTCCTATTCCTTCCTCCTGAGCAGCTGGGGTTACAGAGGACATGACCAGCTGACATAGGTAATTTTTTATTATACCTCAATGATTTCCCACCTGGAACTTATGAGTTATAATTTTTAGTATTTCCCGATATGTAACATTGATGATGGCCTTGGTATTTTCATACACAGTCATTTTCTCAGTCATAGTTGTTGGTTTCTTACCTAAAAGAGGGTGGCTCTGCATAGGCACATTGGTCTCCATAGCCTGTGGATGTTCTAAGCCTGGATAAACATGTACTGGCTGGTGATGGTTCACTGGTACTCCACACGGGTGTGTGGTCTGCTGAGCAAGAGCTGCTTCAGCAGAGCTTGTATCTTGCACAGAAGATTGTATCTTCTAGATAAAGATAAAGTTACCTTAGATCTTTCAGAGTTTTAACAACACAAGAGATTAGAAACACAAGGATAAGAATATAATTTGAATACCACCTTAGCTACTGACATAGGTAATACCTTAAGGGACAAATATTTCTATCTTCCAGGTGAGGAAACTAAGGTTTAGAAAGATTAAATAACTTAAGTCATCATGTGGCATAGAAGAACATTTTTATTTCCATTTATGATTTACAATAAGACTCAGAAATAGTGGAAGCAACTTGCCTAAAATTTTATGCCTATTCAGTGGCAAGCTAAGTTACAGTAACATTATGCTAAGTAACATTATACTAAGCTTTAAGTTGTAGAAATACAGATATGAGACACTCTTTCTCTTCCATCTAATAAAGAGTTTGGAGCAAGTAAATAAACAAGGCAAGTCTACAAATAATATTTACACTAATCTTAGTAAAACGAATGCCAGAGGAAGGCTTATATCAGCAACAATATAGACCAAATATGAAGTCAAATATTCAGGGTTAAAACAACAATAATCACTTTCTAAAATATACAAATACATCCACTCATTTGTCAATATAGAAACTAGTATATGTCCACTTTTAAAAAAATTAAATGGGTATTTTATTCCTCAGTAAGTGAAACTTTAAAAACATTGGCCAACATGAGTCATAAAAATGGCATTCTACAGGCTGGGAAGGTGGCTCAGTGGTAGAGCGCTTGCCTTGCATGCATGAGGCCCTGGGTTTGATTCCTCAGCACCACATAAGCAAAAAGAAAAAAAAAAGCCGGAAGTGGCGCTGTGGCTCAAGTGGTAGAGCACTAGCCTTGAGCTGAAGAGCTGAGGGACAGCTCCCAGGCCCAGAGTTCAGGCCCCACGACCGGATCCCCCCCCAAAAATGGCATTCTACATGATGTATCATAGGAATGCTTTCAGAATTCCTTCATACCTTGACATGTTTTGATTTCTCTAAAGCCTACAACTAAGATAGACCAGCTATGAGAACTCATTTCTACCTACCAAGTTATTGTTGATACTAGCAATAGAAGTAGATATAACAAAGATCTCACTCTGTTGAAATACAAATATGTTCCCCTTTGATTATCTGGTTATTGATTCTATGCAAGCTCCCCTATCGTAAGCCTAGCATACTTCACTTGGGTGTCCAGCACCCTCCTTGTTTTATCTCTTTAAATTCTTACAAATTCCCCCAACTGCTGCATTTCCCTGAATATAACTGATGTGCCTTAGCGGTCTCTTTTCACCTACACTATTACATTTCAAGCATTTCTTCCTCTGAGAAACCTATTCCTCCCCTTTAGGATGTATACATTCATTCTTGTTTCATTTTCTTAAAAAAGTACAGATTATTACAACATTATCATATACTTCCGGCTTTTTTCTTTTTGCTTATGTGTTGCTAAGGAATAGAACCCAGGGCCGCATGCATGCAAGGCAAGCGCTCTACCACTGAGCCACCTTCCCAGCCCAAATTTACTGTAATTCTTTACTGGGGGGTCAGTACACAGGACAAAAATTTCATATAAGGGTTACAACTTGAATTAGTAAAAATAAATTGACTTCATGTGAACTTCTAATCAAAATAAGAGTGCTAAAGTTGAGAGTTACTGATTATAATCTTTATCTACTATTCTCCACCTCACTTTTGTTAAGAAAGTTCACCTTACTGTGCATATGCCTCTCCTGTGTGCACAATGAGGATCACCAAGGCAGGTCCTTTGTATTTAGATACTCAGAGTTAAACTGAAATTTCCAGAATCAGTTCTCTTTATATAACAAGTGTATTTTATTAGAAAAATAAGCCAAATAGTTCTCCAGACAATAGCTTTGTTTAGGAAAAAATCTTTGAGTGCTAGGAGTACACACACAGCAAACACAAAACAAATGAAAAACAGTTTTAAAGAAAGCTATTTTTATGCCAGTGAGCTAGAGTGCACATGTTGATTTAATTTCTAAGGTACAAATAGGTGGAAGAATTAGCTTACCTTTGTGTTCTCTTTAGAAGGTGCATCACACTGTTTTGCTTCAGTAAATTTACGCATTTCTGCAAATGTATATAGATAACGATTTCAACATTTTTCAGCTTAAAAAAACTACCAAGTTACAATTTTTCCATATTAGGAAGGAAGTGGTGATTTCTTACAGTCACAGGTGTTTGCTCTATTTGATTTAGCCAAAATTTCTAAAGGGATTTCTTTGGAACAATCATCCATTCATAAATTCCATTGTGGATTAAATTGAGGCAAAAAACAAAGAATCACTTCATAGTAAAGAGTTCGAGCAAATGACAGTTTAAAAAAGAACAGGTTAAGGTTTCAAACAAGTAATACTAATTCTTCTAAAATTGTGCTTTACTTAAAAAGCCATAGGTAGAACTATTGGAGGTTTAATTAAAATAATTAAGAATTTTCCATAAGAGAAGGGTAAGTAATTTATCTGAGAGGATACAGTTTTTATTAAGTGAAGCTATTTGACTTCTGTGGTCAGGTTTGTTCTGCCTGCTAAATACTGTATTGAAGATCTCATCTAGTTAATCCTCAATTTCTGAGCTATTTTGCTTTTCAATTACATCACAACAAATGTGTTTTTATCTCTTTAACCTTTAGAAATACCTACATGGCTGACACTGACAGTAAAAGTAGATATAATAAAGAGATTTCACTCTGGTAAGAGTACAAATATGGCCAGCCACCTATAATCCAAGCTACTCAGGAGGCTGAGATCTGATGATCGCGGTTCAAAGCCAGGAAAGTCCATGAGACTCTTATTTCCAATTAACCACCAGAAAACTGGAAGTGGTGCTCTGGCTCAAGTGGTAGAGTGCTTGCCTTGAGCTAAAGAAATGAAGGACAGTGCCCAGGCCCAGAGTTCAAGCCCCATGACCGACAAAAAAAAAAAAAAAGAGTACAAATATGTGCCCCCCTCTGATTGCTCTGCTATTGATTCTGTGCTATACTCTTGGATCATTAAGTGTGGTAAAGCACCGATCCTCTAGTTACTGCCTCGATCCATCTTTTCGAGTCAGCATTCATAAACCACCTCAGTGTTATCTGCTTCAGGCTCCAGGGAGCCAAGGCTGATTAACACCAAATATTATTTAGACTTAAAAAATTCCAATGTTAATAATTACCTTCTGCTTCCTGAAATGCCATCAGTTTCCACTGGATGTGTTACTGCTCTTTCCTCTCCTAAAATGTTTGATGCTGAACATTGTTAAAATTGCTAAATGCCACTCAATTCTGTGCTTTAAAGAATTCAAGTGTTTAAAATGACATAAAGCATCTTAATGCCACTCAGCTAAGTATTATTTAAGTGTTGGTAAGTTAGATAGAAGGGGAAGAGATTAGGATACAAAATGAGAAGATGGAGGATAGATCCAGGTAGCCTTCACATTTAAAGAAGAAATTACTGTTTCAGCTTTGAACAAAAAGCAAATAGACTTCATTAATATCATATAGGTTATATACATTTATACATCTATTTCAATTATTCAAACACACATCTAAACTACAGCATAAACTCCTACATAAAACAAAAATGACATACCATATTATTAACTTAGTTTTCTGATCTGTAAAACTAAGCTTTGAACTAATTTTTATAAAAATTAGTTCCTCAGAATTGGAATATGGTGGTAAAAGGTGTCATATATCAAAACCACTTTGTATACTATGTATTATAAAATAGGTTAAAAATGATAGCCTATAACTTAGCACTTTGCTTCTTATTCTAATTTCATACAATTGTTTTCTAAGAAAATAATAAATTGAAACTGCATATATTTATTTATGAGTCCTTGGCCTTTGGAATATGTATATATATATACACATAAATATGTATATATTTATGCTTTTGTTGTTAGGCTTAAGATCATATTTCAGTTAATAAAGAAGATCTGCCAATCTGGAAAACATAAATTAAATTAAGAACAATCAAGAAAATATAAACATTATCAGCTCATTTCTCTGGGGATTGTAATACCTACCTTAAGAGGATCAGCCTGGGTAGCATAAATAATCTACTAACCAAATGAATGTTAGGTATATTTCAGGATGTGTTCAAATTTCATACCTCCCAAAAACCTCAATATAAGAATCTTTGATTATGAAGCTTTTATTTAAACTATGTCAAAACTTTATCATTTAGAATTTGTTTAAAAAAAACCTGGGATTGTGGAGATTTGGTTAAAAGATTTACTTAATATCTTAATATATTCATCACCTATCAAATCATTGAGACAGATGCTCTAGACATCCCAAATATTATCAACAAATACTGAAAAGTTGAACAGGAATTCAATGTCCTTATGCAAAAACAGAACAGGATATCATATAAGCACATATAATGACTACAGATTCTTAATTAGTAAAACGTATCATACTTCTATTAGGAGGGACACATTAGAACAAAGTTATTGGAAGTCGTTATGTAGTTAATGGTTCCACTTTCTTATTGTAGAGGAAAGATAGCAGGTCCAAACATAAATTATTTGCCCAAACTAATCAGCCAAACCATGCTCTATTGGTAAATAGTAAGCAATCGGTTTTATACTAAAAAATTCACTCCCTTTAAAGAATGTTTTAGAATTTTCCTTGAAATGTTTGGTAGTACCCTTCACATTAAGAATAAAACAATTGCACTGGGAAGGTGGCTCAGTGGTAGAGCACTTGCCTTGCATGCATGAGGCCCTGAGTTTGATTCCTCAGCACCACATAAGTAAAAAGAAAAAAGCCGGAAGTGGCGCTGTGGCTCAAGTGGTAGAGCGCTAGCCTTGAGCTGAAGAGCTGAGGGACAGCGCCCAGGCCCAGCGTTCAGGCCCCACGACCTGATCCAAAAAAAAAAAAAAGAATAAAACAATTATAAACTGCTTGTTAATTTCTCTAAAGGCCTTTCAACTAGAGTTAGAAAGTGGAAAGCAACAAGCAATAAACAAAAATCTCTAGACCAATGGTTCTCAAACATGGTAGTACCTTAGAATCTCGAGGGCTAACATTAATACTCTATACTAGCTCTACTTTCACTTGGTTCAGATTCACTGTATTTTTAAAGTTTTATAAGTGATTGATTCTAATGTGCTAGCAATGTTAAGAAATAATATTCTAGGCAGCTTGTTTATTTCAGGAGTGCAGTTTGAGTAGAACATATAAAAATGTATGTGACAGAAATGACCCCTGTTTCTCTAGAACTTATACCTCCATGTAGACCTCAATATGTGAAAAGCACTTTTTTGAAACTCCAGTCCTTGAATTTTTATCCTTCTAGTTCTCTGAAACAATATACTTTAATTAGTGAGGAACTTCAGTTATTCTTGTCACTTCTATAGAAGAGTACTTTTTAGAGTACTAAAATGACAAATTACTTTATTCTAACTTTCAAGTCACCATTAAATAAGAATGATTAAAAAAGAAATATCATCTTTAAGAACTCGTAAGTTTCACTCACTGAGCAGTATAGTAATGCCAACAAAAGCAAACAAAACCCAAGAGCTAAGTAAAAAATTCAAGTAAAGAAAAAGTAAAATTTTGTCACAACCATTGAATTTCTTCATGATAAAATTAAACACATCTTGAAGTATTTAATATCTCATTATTCAAGTATGTGAGTTTATATTTATAGTTCCTGGAGTTATTTCCTATAACTTTTGTGTGTGTGTGTGGGGGGGAGTCCTGGGTTCTGTTCCTGAGTTTTTGTGCTCAAGGTCAGTACTCTACCACTTGAACCACTGCCACTTCTAGAGTGTCTCATTGAGTTTCCTATCTGGGCTGGTTTCAGACCTTGATTCTCAGATCTTGGCCTCCTGAGAAGCTGGGATTATGGGTATGATCCACTGGGGCCAGACTCCTCTCAGGTTTTGATAAAAAACACTACTATTGATCAACTGCTCCATGTGATTTTTTTCTCAGTAATTTTATCGATCATAGGATTAAAGTGACTAATTATATTCCCCTCTATATTATTATCCCAGAGTAGTTCCAAGGTTGAACAAGAGAAGTTCTTGTTAATTTATATGAGCACGTTAGCACAATCTAGCCAACACAGAATATATTCATGGGAATTAATCGTATTTTTAAGACTTATCTATAACATTTTTGATTTGACACTTAATGATACTTAGAATGTTATAAAATAATCTTAAAAGCTTTTATATTTTATACCAATGCTTCATGAAATATTCTTGACTTAACTGCACATAACTAAGTTGCAAGTGTTTAAGTCAAAAACATAATTTAAATGATCCAATCAAACTTCATTGAAATTTGTTACGAAGTACTGCTTCTAGCCCATAGATTCTCATTTTCACTTTTGAAGGTTTTGGGATTTAATTAACTTGTTCATGGAAACATTATCTTGCTTGAAATGATAATTATGGGAATTTCCTAGATTTTTAAATATAACTTTATTGGAAACCCACAGTCTATCTATATTTACTTTTCAGAGAATATATAAACTTTAAATCTTGGAAATGATGGGAAATAGCTATGTAAGTAATGGAGACTGAAAGCCAACACTAAAATAGCATCTGGATATTAGTCTTAAAACAAATCAGTAATCTTTAGGAAGTTAGAAAAGATTATGTAGCATTCTGTCCCTGAAAGCTAAAATTCTAAAGAGTTTTGATTTGGTTTTTAAAAAAACAACCCTGCAGTTATCCAACTGGTTTGAACAATCAGTGAGACAGGTATTAAAAGGTAAATTAATTTTTTGAAAAATCACTAAGGATTAATATTCTTCTATGTGAAAATATGTCATCAAAGCTTTCAGAAAAGTTTCCTTAAAATGTTAAACAAATGAAATTATATTCCTATTTCCTATCTTGAATAACCAAAACTTATTAATTAGAACTCTGAAAAACAGTATTCCACTGTGAATTTCAGTTCTGAACAAATCATAATTAAAAAGCTATAACATCTTATATTTTAAAATAGATGTTGCAACAGGCAAGGTTTTTACTCATATCCCTAATTTTCACAAACTACATAAGTCTCAGTAAATAATCTATTTCCCTTAACCTTGAAACTTGACAATGTCATGTACATGAATAAGAATGTTGATTTTATTATATTTACAATAGACACTATATTAACATGTTCTGACTTAGTTATTTTTCACAATTTAATACTTCTATTTATAATTTTTATTCTTATTTTCAAGGAAGTAAAAAATGTTCATAGTTTGTACACTAGAAATAAAGAGCCTTAAAATATTTTAATGGAACAGTTGAAGTTAACAGGATAGAATGTTCAATAAAATAATTAAAATTTCAAAAATAAATGACTAGCCAGGCATATAACCCTAGCACTAGTGAGGCTGAGACAGAAAGATTTAAGACCCCATCTTAAAACAAGCAAGCAAGCAATTTAGCAAGCAAGCAAATTCATAGCAAGAGAATTCATAGCACCAGGTTAGAAGGCAGACTGACCATGTCAGTCTGAAGTAGAAAGATTGGGACTAAAAAATGAGAAAGGGGGTAACACTGTTCAAAAATAAATGTAATTATTACCTTAATTATGTAACTGCAACTCCTCTTTACAACACCTTTACAATGAAATTAAACGAAAAAAAGATTGGGACTGAGTATATGGTCAGTACTTAGTTTTTTCTTGGCCTACACCAAGGTTTGACCATTCCCAGAATTTGGAAGGAAAATGAAATAAATTTATTAACAAATCTTTATGCTGGATATGGTGGCTCATGCCTGTAATCCTAGCACTTGGGACTGAAGCAGGAAGTGAGAGTTCAAAGCCGCCTGGGCTACAGAATTAGATCTTTCCTCAAAATAAGAAACAGAAAAAAAGGGCTAGAAGTGTGGCTCAAATGGTAGAGTGCTTGCCTAGCAAATTAAGTTTAAGGTACTGAGTTCAAACCCCAGTATTGTAAAACACACACACACACACACACACGCACGCATGCACACATGCAAGCACACACCAGTTTAGAAGTCAGACTGACCACATGTTAGTCTGAAGTAGAAAGATTGGGACTGAAAAATAAGAGAGGGGATAACAATGTTTAAAAAGAAATATATATTCTTATTCTGAAATAAGAATATATATTTGAAAGTAAGTCCTTTAACTTGGGAAAGGTGACATTAACTAAAAATATTAGTCATAATATATTCAGCAGTATTTTAAGATTAAAATTCTAAAATTCTAAGAAGCCATTGTGTTAGAAAATTAGGCAAACAAAAATAGAAATTGTGCCATTTTAATAACAGATAGCTGATAACCATTCTTCCCCTCAGGTAACATAATATTCTATCAGAAAGTGATAATTCATATTAAAATGAAGGTACTTTACTTAAAAACTCTACATACAGAATTTTCCCACTTATAATCAAGGCATTTCTTGAATTATTTGATTATTTGGTTTTAGGGGTGTTTATCTGTAGGGGGAAATACTGCGTACTGAACTCAGGGCCTCCTGTTTGCTAAACAAGCATTTTTACCACTTGAGTCTTATCTCAGTCCTTATTAAATTATTTAAGTTAAATAATTCAAACTAATAGTTACAATAAGTTTTATCCTACAAATAAAAAGACAAAATGCTCTAACTTATTAGACCATAAATGCTTTATTAGATGAAATTACAATTGATATTACAATTTAAAATACTAAAAGGCAACTCAAGATTTTTCCAGTATTGCTTTGTGCTTAGATGTCAAATAAAGAAATGCTGTATAATATCCACAGCCCTAAGTTCACTTTAAAATTTAGTAGTATGACAAATCCAACAAAAGTAAAAATTGTTTATTCTTACAAAATTGTTTATCGCTATATACTTTAGAAATGTAAAAACAGCAGCACCACAGGAATGCAAATTAAATAGAACCAAAAGAAAAACAGCAGACCCTGACTACTAAGCCAGAGAAAAGAGGGCTTTCCATACATATAAAGGGTAGGGATTCCTGAAGTCAGAGTAGCCATGTGGGATCTTTTTATTAAAAAAGGGAACTGAATTTCACAACAAGGGACATCTCATTTAACATAAAGTAAATTTTAGGCCACAAAGTGGCCTATATTCTGAATTTGACTTTTGGTCATTAGCATCACTGCCAAGCCAAGTGTCTTTGGGGCAGTAGTGACTTGTCAGCTATGTAACTGTCAATGAAAAAAAACAAGGAAAACATGGATGATGTAAGTTTGCCACAACTTATAAATTATGTAAGAGAATACGGTACTTCCATCTATTTTCCTATAGATGGAAGGTAATATTCTACAGTAAAGAAAATAACAAAGTGAAAATCTACTTTACAGGGTCTGAGATGCCTGGCTTCTTAATTCTTGTTGAATTCAGAACACAGCATCCCAGCAAGACTTAGTAATATCAGAATGAAGTATCATGGAGAAGACTTTTAGAGGTCCCTCAAGTACTCTTTTTATTGTCTAAAAAAAGTGAAAACCAGTATTTTATAGCTGACATTTTCTAGTCTTAAGGTCTGATATTATTTACTAAGAGATTATTCCACTATGAGTAAATTGGTTTCCAACAGGACCAAGCCTTCAAGTCACATCTGTATAATATGAAATTTCATTTTATACATTTTTAAGGAAAATATTAAAATAATCTACATGCAACTTATTAATAAGGATGGTATTCAAACCAGAGATTCTGGGCCAGGAACAGATACTTCTTCAAAATGTTAAGTCTCAATATTACAAGAAAAAAAATGTCCCACAGACAGAGGTACATGTAAGGGACCGCTAACCTGGTTCAGAATCGCTGCTGTCCGATGAGCTTGAATCACTGCTGCTGCTGCTTCCCGACTGGGAGGAGCTGCTGCTGCTGCTGCTGCTGCTACTGCTACTGCTGCTGCTGCTGCTGCTGTCACTCAGACGGGACCCACTTCCAATTGCTTTCAGTGCTGGTGTTTTCTCAGCTACAAAGCAGGGAGATACAGTAAAGTGCCAATAGCATTCAACAGTCAGAGGAGGAGCATTTAAAAACTGCCACCTACGTTTTACTTGGCGTTTTCTAGAATTCAGCTGATTGTTTACGTCCTGTAAGCGCTTTTCCAGCTCTTGCTTTTTCTGTGCATGAAGTTCTTCTTTGGATTGCGTTATTTTCTTAGCTAGATGGTTAGGAGTTAAAAAAAAAAGAGTGTAACAAAAAAATTTAAATACCAAAACAGAATTTTATTAATATGTAGAAACACATACCATGAGGCTTTAGTGGTCTTTTCCTTAGACATGCCACAACATATTTTTGCAATTCTCTTAGTGTGGATGCTTTCAGCGTCTCAAAGTCTATCTCTATCTCATCAGGATTGGAATTTCTCAGTGAGGGTTCTCTTGATTGTATTATATGAACTACTCGGCCAAGTTTATCTCCAGGGAGTTTGTTTATATCCAAACTCAACTGCCTTTTCTCATCATAGTTCATAGGCTTAGCGTTATCTTCATTTTCAGATTTCATTAGAACCTGCTGTTTCCTTTTCTTTGGCTGACTGAAAACAAAAATTGCACCTAAGTCAAATTATTTCATTTATTTACTTAGGTGATAGAGATTAAACCCAGGGCCCTATGTATGCTAAGTGCTCTACCACAGAGCTATACACACAGCCAAAATTTATTCTCAATAATTCTTCTACTAAGCCATCATAAAAGGTGACTTACGTGCTCTTGGGCTTTTCCTTTAGTTTCATTTGCTTACAATTTTTCCCTGGATTTTCATCTTTGTTATTAACTCTTTGTCTTTTCTTCACTCTTTTTGACTTTTCATTCTTTTTCTTTAATTTACGGAAAGGCACTTGGGACAGAACCTGTAGCTGTTGATGAACAGCATTAAGCTGACAAAGTTTAAAAAAAATCATTAAACATTTATGATTCTTAATAAACTAAAATATTCATCTAAAAACAGTCCAACAGGGCTGGAATACAATGTAGTAGCAGAACATCTGCCTAGCTTGTGTAAGGCCTTGGGTTTGATTTATGTGTAAGGCACCATAAAGAAATAATAAAAACAGCTTAAGAATACTTTTCCAGGTAGCCTAAATTTTAATTATTAATATTTTAAGCTCAAGCTCAGAGAACATTAACATTTTATCACATTCATAGCAAATGACAAATTCTCATCCATAAAAGATCTCAAATTTGTAAAAAAATTTCAGTAATTGTGATTAGGAGTGTAAATAACGGAATTTGTTTTTATAAAACAAATTTATGACTATCTGGATACTTTAGTAGGAAAGATAATTAAAATGACAAATGTGCCAATATATATATAAAGGTACTAAGTGATTACATATAACAGCTTTAAGTCTAATTTTTTTTTGGGGTCCGGTCATGGGGCCTGAACTCTGGGCCTGGGTGCTGTCACTCAGCTCTTCAGCTCAAGGCTAGCACTCTACCACTTGAGCCACAGCACCACTTCCAGCTTTTTTCTTTTTTCTTATGTGGTGCTGAGAAATCAAACCCAGGGCCTCAGGCAAGCAAGGCAAGCACTCTACCACTGAGCCACCTTCCCAGCCCGTCAGCTTTAAGTCAACAAGAAGGATTTTATATAATAAACCAGCAGCTCTTAGAAAGAACATCTAAAATTGTATCTATATGGTTGGTCACCTGTTCCTGAAGCTTTACAAGACGCTGGACTCTCTCATCTTCAGAATCCTCGGAAGAGTTATCTTCAGAGGACGCATCACTACTGCTTCCTCTACCAAGGGATTTGGAAGCATTTGGTGGGAGGTGACATATGGGTGTGGTCTCAACAGGGTCATCAGGAATCTTTGCAAAATGCATTTCAAAAACATCCTATAGTGGAAAATTATACTGTTAAAGGCATTCTGCATTTCAAATTTAATTCAGCAATAACAACTTTTACAAAACTGTATTTCAGATCAGTCTCCTGTGGCTCACGGATGTAATCCTATCCACTCAGATAGCTGAGATCTAATTGTGGTTTGAAGCTAGCCTGGGCAGGAAAGTCTGTCAGACATTTTCCCCAACTTCCGTGTGATAGGGCAACTTCATTAAATAATTTGCTATAAAATGATGTAAAAATTAGTCAAAAGACAAGACAAAGACTGGAGGCAGGGCTCAAGTGATAACAGTAGCTGCCTAGCAAACATGAGGGCTAAAGTTCAAACCCCAGCACTACATATTAAAAAGTTCCAGGATGTGGCTCAAAAGTGGTAGAGTGCCTATGAAGCAAATGCAAGAGCCTGAGTTCAAACTCCAGTAGAGTAGAAAAAAAAAAAGAGGCTCAAAAGACAAATCTAGTGCAATTCCCATCAAAATTCTAATGACATTCTTCACAAAACTAGGGAAAAAAACGATCCTAAAATTAATAAGGAAACACAAAAGACCCAGAACAGCCAAATCAACTCTGAGTAAGCAGAACAATACTGGAGTTATCACAATACTTACTATAGCTCCACAGCAGCAAAATGAGCATGGTACTGGCATAAAAACAGATACACTGACCAATGGAACAAATGGAAGACCTAGGAATAAGCCCACATAGCTACAGCTATTTAATTTTTGACAGAAATGCCAAAAACATACATTAGAAAAAACAGCTCTTCTGACAAATGATGCTAGGAAAACGAGACATTCACGTCTAAAATCCTGAAACTAGATCTCCGTCTCTGACCTGTAGGAAAAAAAATCGATTGAAGAGCTTAATGTAAGACCTGAAATTTGGAAACTACTAAGGAAAACATAGGAGAAATACTTCACAATATAAGCACAGGAAATTACTTTCAGGATAACCCTCCAGTGGTTTGGAAAATAAGGGTAAGGACTGATAAATGAGATCGCACAAAAATAAAAAGAGTTGGTATAGAAAAGTAAACAAATACCAGAGTGAAGGGACCATATACAGAATGGGGAACTTTTCCCCCCAAGATATTCATTTGTTAGAGTATTAAAACCCAGTATAAAGAATTCAAAACATTAAACAGCAAATTAACAAATAATCCAATCTTTAAATGGGTAAATGAGCTGAATAGATGGTTCTCAAAAGAAATACAAGTGGCCAATAAACTACATGAAAAAATGTTCAACATCCTTAGCCATCAAAATTGATGAAATAGCCAGTTGTTGGTGGCTCACGCCTGTAATCCTAGCTACTCAGGAGGCTGAGATCTGAGGATTGTAGCTAAAAGCCAGCCCAAGCAGGAACGTCTACGAGACTCTTATCTCCAATTAACTACCAGAAAACCAGAAGTGGTGCTGTGGCTCTAAGTGGTAGAGTGCTAGCCTTGAGCACAAACAGAGACAGTGCCCACACCCTGAGTTCAGGCCCCATGTCCAACAACAACAACAAAAATATGAAATGAGTCAAAACTACACTGAGATTCTGCCTCACCCCAGTAAGACTGGCCACCATCAAGGAAACAAGTGCTGGTGAGGATGGGGGTAGGAAGGGGTCACTGGACTCTAAGTCACTGCTGGAAGGGATGCAAATCAGAACACTCATGGAAATCATCTAGAGGTTCTTCAAAAATTTAAAACTACAACTCCAGCTTTACTACTTCTGGGTATATACCCAAAACCATCGAAGTCAGATGATTAGAGAGATACCTGTACACCTACATTTATTGTAGTACTGTTCATAATAGTTAAATTATAGAATCAACCTAGGTGTCCCATCAATGGATGAATGGATAAAGAAAATGTAGTAAATATATACAATGGAGTTTACTCAGCCAAGAATAGAAATTATGTTGTTTGTTGGAAATGGATGGAACTGGAGATCATCCTAAGGTTAAGTTTAATAAACCAGTCCCACAAAGACAAAGTATCATGCTTTCTCTCAAAGCTGGGGGGAAACAAAACAAAACAAAAAAATCAGTGTCATGATTAATGTGTCATGACTAATAGGGAAGTAGAAGGGGAGAAGGGGAAGAGGTAGTGAGGATAGGAAAGAATAATAAAAGGGATGGGTATGGTCAACGTACATTATTTGCATATGTGGAAATGTCATGATGAAACCCTTACTGTGTATAATACATGCCAAAAAAGACAAAAGTGTAATTCATAAGCAGTTTTGTATTTAGGAATGTGTGCAGTATTTATCTTTTGAATAAAGTTCTGAATTTTTAAAAATACATTTAGAGGAAAATCACCTTCAGTGTACAAGTAAAAACTCACCTGAAGCATTCTAGCCATTTCCACTATTTCATGATCTGGAGGGTTGTATTTGTAGCAATTCATGAACATTAATCTAACATCTGCAGCAAACTCATATGCATCCTTATATTCTTGATTGTCCATTTTCCCCTAAAATAAGGAAAAGTTATAGTATTTACAACAAAATTCAATTCAGTCAAATCATCTGCAAGTGAGAACTAATGTTCTTTTTCTGTTCTTGGAATCCTGTTATAGACTCCTAACTAGTTTGTACATTCCTGCTAGAAAAAAATATAAAAATCAAATATGAAGACTTTATTCGTGATATTTTTTTCCTTTGTGCCAGTCCTGGGGCTTGAACTCAGGGCCTAAATGTTGTCCCTCAGCATTTTTGCTCAAGGGTAGTGCTCTACCACTTGAGCCACAGCTCCACTTCTGGTTTTCTGGTGGTTAACTAGAGTTAAGAATCTCACAGACTTTTCTGCCTGGGTTGGCTTTGAACCTCAATCCTCACATCTCAGCTTTCTGAGCAGCTAGAATTATAGGTGTGAGCTACAAGTACCCAGCTATTCTTGGCTTCTTTACAATGATTTGTCTTAAGACCCACCTTTCCTTCCAGTCTCATCCACTCCCTCTTCAGATTTTCCATGTGCTTCAAGTTGGCACAAAATAACATTGTGAATATAATTTCTTCACCTTACAGCAACTATGCAAGTTGTGATCCCGCCCAAAATTTCCTGATCCCATACTTGTGTCCTATAAATTACGAAGTTCTATTTATCCTTTAAGATTTGGCTAACACATCACTTTTCATGAGCTTGAGCTGGTATTGAGGGAAAAATAGGATAGTGTTGTTTTGTAAAGATGATGTTTAAAAATATATACACAATGGAATTCTATTCCTCCATCAGAAAGAATGACATTGCCCCATTTGTTAGGAAATGGAAAGGCTTGGAAAAAATTATATTAAGTGAAGTAAGCCAGGC